TAAAATTGAAAACTCACTCCTCGATAAAACCCAGAAGTGGAAAGAGACAACTAGTTACTTTTTCTCCGTAGGAGAGGAATCTAGCACACAATATACAGGAAATAAACGAATACCAAAAGATACCTGAACGTGTAGTCCTGCTCAACTACAAGCGGTATAGCCAACAGCACTATATCCAGATCTGAACTCCTGACAGACTAGGTCACGAAATATCAAGAAATGAAAGTAGAATGGATATAAAGAGCATACAATCCATAAAGCAACACCTCGAAGAAAAAGGGTAAACAGAAAAGAAACAATTACAAAGAAAACCAAATATTTAGTTAAGACAGCCAACGGAATTATCAGACTTGTAACTGTCATCCAACTGAATGATTTTCTCCTTCAGTTTAGCATTTTCTCCTTGAATGGAAGTTATTCTGCTATTAACTTCTATCAGGTCAACTTCAATTTCAGATTTTTCCTGTGTTTCATCTAATTTGGTATCTAGATTATTCAACATCTTGTGGAAATACTTCAAAGTCACTTCTGATGGCATTTTGTGTATTAACACAGTATTAGGAAATTTCCCAAGGAGAGAGCGTCCACACTGAATAGGATGCTTCTTCAACCTCGAGATATAACTTTCGTGTTCGTAATACATTTTTGAATCGTTTTATATATGTGATTGCTCAACTGACACTACTGGATAACGCACTTCTAACTACTTTATTGTCACTAGAACAAATAATTTGAAAATAGGTAGGATATTTTGCAATATTTTCCATCATAGTTCAGCAGATTTATGTTTATCGATCAGAGTCATCTTCACTTTATGTCTGTTGTATTATTTGGATTTTGTATGGATGATACTTATCCTTTTTTTGAAAGTCTCCATGCAGTAGAAAGACAAACCCCACATACATTCGCGATTGAAGAAGTGAACCGTTGGAGCTCTTTGTTCTATACCCTGAATTGTGAATTGAGATACAAATTCCTCAAATATTTTTCACAGATAGGACTAATCGGAAGACGATCGTTAAACAGCCTTTTGGTTTCATGTAATATACTCTACTCACTATGGATGAAAGTCGCTTCGTTTTTTCTCTTACAATTGACGAGAATTGACCATTTCAAAGATAGTTCGTAACATTTTATATTTATTCAAACTTATTTTTGATAGAACTGTACAATTGATATCCTGCAAATGAGGTTTCAACTGATGATCTCACGTGGAGGAAGGTTTTATCCTACTTACATTTACATTACGTGGTTTTCTGTCTAGATCTTCAGTAGTAAATAACCTTCCCGTGCTATTCAAAAAGGCGCTACCATCCAAGACTACTAAAATAAATTTCCTTCATATTCCACCACACGGTATGATTATCAATAGAATACATTTCTATAAAAGAGTCCCTTCATCGTGACAGGTTATCTCGGCCTCTGCAATTCCCCAGAAATAATTGACAAAGTGTAATTACATGGTACAGTCGAGCGAATATTTCCAATGTTAATTACAGGAGAGGAAGAACGAAATATCATTCCAAATGGAACTCGTTCAAGGGAAATTGCAATTACGGATTTCAGTTGAAGTGCGAGCTTGTCTCACTTTCATCAAATGTAATGGTGCAAACTGAGGTGCAAAATCAGAAAGTTTTCCAAGTTCCAAATAGCCGAACTGAAAGTTATATAGGTATAAATCGAAATTATGTAAAGTTTTTTAATTCCAAATCAAATCGATTGTTTTGACAAGAACTCAAGTCTGTCGATTTTTATTTTCAGTGTGCAGCATCTTCAGAATATAGAAACGCAATGTAAAATTTTACGTGCAGACTGGAACTGTGAAAAAACGAAAATCGATACAATACGAGGAAGTATTCGTCATTACTGTTTCTTGATCATTTTTGAGTTTTTAATTTTCCGTAGTCTGAAAAATATATAGTTACTGTGTGATATTGTTATCTGAGATTTAAGAAAAAATTCTTATTAATGAGTAACTCGTCGAATTCATAAATTTTTGCTACTAAATAAATGAAATTAACAAAAAAATAGTTAATTTTTCGTCACATGTACAAATTTTTTAAATAGTTCAATTTTGTCCTAGATTCTGAACGGAATAGCAAATATTGAAGAAATAGTTCACTAATTTGCTGATTATACAATACCGTAATTCAGGACAGAATTATTACTAATTTGGTGATGCTAA